CCTCCCAGGTGTCTGAGGTGGGGGGCGGGGGTCTCAGTACACAGCTGTCTACCTCCCAGGTGTCTGGGGGAAGGGGATGCGGGGGGGTCTCTGCACACAGCCCTGTCTACCTCCCAGGTGTCTGAGGTGGGGGGCGGGGGTCTCTGCACACAGCCCTGTCTACCTCCCAGATGCCAGGCTTTTCTGGCTCCTCCCACGTTTCAATGCCCCATACTGTCCCTCAATCAATCCTGGTGTTTCTGTCCCTTCAACACCTTTCCAATGCCCTCCTGGGGTCCTCCCCAGCCTCCTCTCACCCCTCCTCTCTGTCTTTGCCCCCTGATAAGCCAAGGTCTAAGACTTAAAACCTGGACACTACAGTGTCTTGCTCAGCTGAGCATGCAGTAGCTCTTGGGGTGGCATCCCCTTTGAGCTGAGGCTGGGTTATAAAGCCCACTCCATGTGGCACTGGGACTGTGTCTCTGTGAAGCCCCACACTTGAGGTTTGCATATGCGTGCCTCCTCCCTGGCCCCATCTGCCAGATCATCCTTCAGCTGACTTCCCTGGGCCCAGAGGAGCCATGAGTGTCCACCTGTGTCCCCCAGTGTCCTGGTCACTGTCCTCCCTACTCCCTGAAGCTGATACTGCCACCACGTGTTCTCACAGCTAAGGGACAGACACGGTGCTTCCCCTCCAGGCTCTTGACAGGAACTGAGAGGACTGGGAAGGCGGTGACCTGCTTTCTAGAACAGGAAACAGGCTGAGGGAACAGAGGGACATCGCCCTGGGTTCTGAGCGCTCCAGGATGTAGAGCCCAAGCCAGGGCTCTATTAAACTGCCCTGCCCGGGACGAATCCGAAGGCCAGCTGGACTGTGCTGGTCAGCCCCCTGCCCTCCAAGTAAGCTGACTGATGTTCTGGGCACTCATGTTTGTGGTGTCCTCCTCAGCGGCCTCTCCAGCCTCTCCTTCGTCCAGCAGTCAGAAGACCCTCAGGGACCCCACGCCCACTCTCCTTTGTCAGTTAGCCACAATGCAGCCCCAGGACCCTGGTCCACGTGGCAGTACCACAACAAAGCTCCCAGGCTCCAAACCTCCCTCCATGGCCTGCCCGAGGTGGGGGACAGAGGCTGGGGCTAGAGTGGGCAGATATTTTATTGAACGTTCACAGAGACAAGAGCCCCTTGCAAGGTCACAGCTTGGAGGAGGCGGGAGCAGGAGGGGGTGGGTAGACTGGGTCCCCAGATTTGGCAGCTCCCATACTGGGAAGCTCCCATGTAAGCCCTTCTTGCTGGGTATCAGGAGATGAAGGGGCCCCAGAGGTCTGGGAAGGGCCACAGGGGTTAGGGGACAGCCACTGGAAGCCAGGGACAATAGCACAAGAAGAGATTCAAAGGGAAAGGACAAAACTGGGGCCCCAGGAATCGGCAGGAACAGAGAAGGCAGGCTAGAGGGATGCTCACTGTCCCCGCACTGGACTTAGCTTTCCATGGCCTCTCTGCCCAGTTCACAGCCTTGGGTGGTCAACCCCAGAGTAGTCGCCTTGCTCGGTCCCAACCTCACTGTATCCTGTAAATGCTGTACCCTGAACACTATCCTCCTCCAAGGGCCTTGACTCCACAGCCAGCGGTTCCCATCCCTAGGGCGTCAGTAGTCAGTGAGCGGGTACCGCAGGAAGATGAAGATAAGGACGATGCAGGAAGCAGCCAGGGCAGAGCTGGTGATGTTGAACAGTCGGGCGGTCTTGGCGTCCTCCACGGCCCCATTCAGGTCATTGAGAAGCTTCTTGTCGCGGACCTGCAGTGGGAGCGGAGGAGTGAGAGTAGGGAGCCGTTGTGGGGTGAGGGAAGACATGAGAGCAGAGACTGTGTTGGGGGCAGTGTCTGTAGAGGTCAACTTCCCTGCATGTGTTTACAACGGAACTGGGGGTTCCATAAGAGAATGCCTTCACTTTTGGGACAACTCACTGATGTATTCAGGGGCAGAGAGGACTGTGTCTGCCACTTACTCTCAAACAGTTCATAAAATAAATAATAGGCATTTATACAGAGACAGAAGGGACGAGGGAATATGGGTGAAGGCTGAGATTCCCTGGGTGCAGCAAACAGCTAACGCCTACTACTGGTAGCTAAAGGAGCCCACTGTGGTGTGAAGGATGAACACTGGACTGCAAACTACAAGGTTGGCAGTTCAAACCCACCAGTCGCTCTTCAAAAACCCTATATGGAATCACTCTGAGTTCAGAACCGACTGAACGGCATTTAACAACACCTAACTTAAAGTTTGTCTCAGAAGAAAGGACTGGCAACCCACTACCCAAAATAGTCACTGAGAACCTTCCAGAACCTTCCAGAGTTCTCCTCTGACACACACGGGGCACCATGAGGGGACTCTACTTATGAAAACTCATCCACTGAGAACCCTGTGGGCACAGTTCTACTATGACACACACGGGGACACCATGAGTGGAATCTATTTAGGAAAAATCATCCACTGAAAACCCTGTAGGGCACAGTTCTATTCTGACACACGGGGCACCATGAGTGGGATCTACTTATGAAACATCATCCACTGAGAACCCTGTGGGCACAGTTCTACTATGACACACACATGGGAACAGCATGAATGGGATCTACTTATGAAACATCATCCACTGAGAACCCTGTGGGGCACAGTTCTACTCTGACACACACGGGGGACACCATGAATCAGAGTTGATGTGCTGGGGGCTGGCAGTATTAGTGGAGAGTGAAGGGCATCCAGGATTCTTTGTTTTCTTTTTGCCGTGTTTCTGTAAATCAGAAACTATATAACGTAAGGTAAGTTGACTCTTGAGGTCTTTATGTCATTGGAAGACAAAGTTCTACCTTTTTTTAAAATCACCTGGCACTCCCTGATCATGGAATAAACAGGTGGTGGTCTCTGAGGTCTCTGATGAGGGACATTAAGGTGAAGGGAGGAGGCTGGAGCCCAGGAATTCTGTGGAAAGGTATTAGCTGGATTTCCAAGCTCCTCGGGTGTGAAAAGAAGTTCCTAATTAGCATACCACCCTCCATCTGGGATGAGTCTTGGAGTGCCTCTCTCCTCAACCTTGTCCCCTTTCATAAAATCCAAACCAATGCAGAAACCAAACCCTAAGGGAAGGAAGAGAAAGAGGATGGAAACAGATGATGAGAGGAAAGGAGAGCCTCAGCTTTAGTGATTGAACAGACAAAAGACAGGGACTGGTTAGAGGAAGGAAGGTGGACAGATAGATGCTTGTGCTGACCAAAGTCTAGACCACTCAGTGGGTGGGTTAGGAGGATGTGTGGGGACAGGAGGAGGAGGAATGGGTGGGCAGGAGAAAAGACAGTCAATGTGGTGGGCACATGTCTGGGCAGAAGGAAGAGTTCATAATTAGGTGACAGATTGTCATATGGGTGGGTAGATGGATGAAGCAGAAGGCTGGGAATGAACAAAGGGAGAGGTGAGAAGAAATGGCAGCTAGATAGCACGAGATGGAGGGAGGCATGAAGAGAGGGGACAGAGTGGGATAGGTGGTGTGGAACAGAACAGAACAGAATGGAACAGGATGGAATTGAGAGGAGTGGAATGGGGCAGAATGGAATGAGGCAGGGTAGAAATCTAAGGTGTTGGAAGAGGGGAAGAACATGGAGGTTGGTGAGTGGGTGGCCTGGAAGAAGGACTACACGGGATGGGAAAAGAAGATGGTAAGATGGCAGGAGAAACAGGAGCAGCCTTGTGGAGATTTACCCTAGAGGATGTGGAGATGACTGGCACCCTTACTGAACGGTGTCCTTTCTAAGAAGATGGAGTGTCACCCACTTATTTAAGTGCTATTTAATGTCTTTATTAAATAAAATAGGATCATTTTCTCCAGAAAGAACTATTATGCTTTCTGTTATATTTCATCTTATGCCATTCTGTTTGGTTGTCATTATGTGTGACATTGATTTTAAATTACACTTCTAAATAAAATTTTAGGAGTGTATAAAAATTCAGCTCCTTGCAGACTGAATTTGTATCCATTTGAACCATTTATGAATTAATTGTGATCACCGGCCAAATATTCCACCTAATATATCATAGTCATGTAAACGAGGCGTCCTGGGGTAGAGCTATAGGGTGAGCACTGGACCGGAAGGTCGGTTTGAACTGTTCAAACTCACCAGTCACTCTTTGGAAACTCTCTACATATGAGTCGAAACTGACTGGACGACATTTAACAACAAGAAGTGCAAAGAAAGGCAGTTCTATTATTTCGTTCAAGGCCTTACTCCTAGACAGTGTAACATATTGGCTAACAGCACAAATTCTGTAGACATACTGCCTGGATTTGAATCTCAAAGCTGGCCATCAGTAGCTGGAAGCCTTAGGCACATGAATGACCTGTTTGGTGCCTGAGTACTTTTATCCTCCACTCCTCTGTCAGTCTGTCCCTACTGTGGTGGCTTGTGTGATGCTGGAAGCTACACCACTGCAATTTTAAATCCCAGCAGAGCTTCCAGACTAAGACACACTCGGAAGTAGAGGCAGACCACTTCTGAATGTTCAGCCACTGAAAAGCTTATGAAGAGCAGCAGGACAGTGTCAGATATCACGCCCAAAGATGAGTCCCTCAGGTTGGAAGACACTCAAAATATGACTGGTGACAAGTTGGCTCCTCAAAGTAAAGTAGAGCATGATGACGCAAATGGACTAAAACACTCGGGACCTTCACTTGCTGATGGAGTACAACGCAAAATGAGGAGAAACAGCTCTAAGCCTCCAGTAATCATCAGACCATAGACTGTATGAAGTATTAATTAAGGAAAAATGAAAGCAATCTAAAATGAAATGGAATGCATAAAATCAATATTCAAGCCATTGTTGTTGTGTGCCATGGAGTCAGTTCCGACCCATAGCGACCCTGCACAGGGTTTCCGAGGTTGTAACTCTTTACGGGAGCAGAACGCCTCATCTTTCTCCCGCGGAACAGCTGGTAGTTTCGAACTGCTGACCTTGCGATTCTCAGCCAGACTCGTAACTACTACGCTACCAGAGCTCCTTATTCAAGCCATAGTGAGCTGAAAATGGTCTTGGCCACTTTGAAGCTTACAATCATATGGTTTACTAAGCAGGGAATGACAAATTGAAGAGGAATCGCATCAAGTTCATCATCAAAAAGAACAGTTTAAGATCTATCTTGAAGTACAATGCTGTCTGTGATAGGATAATATCCATACAAGGAAGATCAGTTAATAGCACTAATATTCAAATTTATGCACCAACCACTAATGCCAGTGACGATGAAACTGAAGAATTCTGCCAACTTCTTCAGTCTGAAATATATGAAACATGCAATTAAGAAGAACTGATAATAACTGGTGATTGGAATGAATAAGTTGGAAACAAAGAGGAAGGATCAGCAGTTGAAAAATATGGTGTTGGTGATAGAAAAGATACTGGAGATCAAATGATAGAATTTTTCAAGACCAGCGACTTGTTGAGTAAAAATACATGCTTAAAACAACATAAAAACGAATATACACATGGACCTCACCATATGGAATTCACAGGAATCAAATTACCTACATCTGTGGACAGAGATGGTAGAAAATCTCCACATCATCAGCCAGAACAAGGCCAGGAGCAGACTATGGAACAAACCATCAATTGTTCAAATGCAAGTTCAGGCTGAAGCTGAAGGAAATTAAAACAAGTCCACAAGAGCCAAACAGTGACCTTGAACATATCCTACTTGAATTCAGAGATCATCTCAAGAACAGATTTAATAATGCCTTTGAAACAAATGACCCATGACCAGAAGAGTTGTACGATGACATCATACAAGAAGAAAGCAAAGAGTTTTTAAAAAGACAGGAAACGCCAAGACGAATGTCAGAAGAGATTCTGACATTTAGCATCTAGAGATGCTAAAGCAAATGGAAGAAAAGAGGAGGTCAAAGAA